TTAAAGGGTGAAGAAACAGGTTCCTCCACCTCTTGGTGGTTTAAAACCACCAAGAAAACAATAATGTAGAGGGTGTTGGTGCAGCATTGTGGAGAATTGCTGTGTGCAGTGTTCAGGCTAAAGGTCAGGACAAATAATAATTAGGCAAAATGATTTATCTACTAAGAATTCTGTCACAATACGGCATAGAAGAGTTACATAATGGAAATCTAGGGAAGAAGCTCCAAGTAGGAAAGATTCTGAGCAGTCTAAAGTCACCTCTGTGTGTGTGTGTGTGTGTGTGTGTGTGTGTGTGTGTGTGAGAGAGAGAGAGAGAGAGAGAGAGAGAGAGAGAGAGAGAGAGAGAGAGGGAGGAGGGGGGTTTAATACAGGTGTCTTCCCACCTGGCTATTTGAGTCAGGGTCTCCCTGAGTCTGGACCTGGAGTTCACTGGTTCAGCTTGGATGAGCTTGCTGACAAGCCAGGAGGACCTCCTGTCTCTACTTCTCGAGAGCTGAGCGCATAGGCTCGGTTGCTGCACTTGACTCTTTAGGTGCTGAGGACCTGACCTCAGTCTCACGCTGTGTGCTTAGTCCAAGTTCTAAACACTATATAATCATTTCAGAAAAGAAAAGCATAGAGAACTCTTATCTAATGGCTTTTCAATCTAACTGGCATATGATACTACAATCATTTGAATTACAATATAAAACTTGAAAAAGTATTTAAGAAAGATAGCCAAGTGAAAAGTAAAAAGATTCTTATTATTGGACATCAGATAGTTCACCATCATCAAAGAGGAAAAATAAAAGAAAGTACAGAACATTTAGAAAATGTGAATTTTGAAGATGAATTATAAATGAGGGATGAAAATCAATTTATTACACACTTTTCTGTCATGGGAAGCATGGTTGGTCTCACCAAGGTTCCCTACGAATTCAGCTTTGTCACAACTCCCCATGTGGACCAATACTCGTAAAAAAAAAAAAAATCTTCCTAGAAATTATGGTTGGAATCTGCGAACCGGCAATCAGAAGCAGCTGTCCAGCCTGCCCTCACCCATGCCGGCCTCTCCTCACCCAAGCCTGCTTGGACTTGGAGCTCTAAATTCAGGTGCAGCCTCAAGCCCTGAGATTTGAAGAAGAATTTGGCATAGATAATGACTTTCTTTCCAAGCCAGGCTGGCATGTGTGTGTACACTCTGCAAAAGACCAAATGACTGCATTCTCACTGTCTCCTTTGGAGAAGGAAAATGATCTCCTATTACTTGGCTGCACTCCAAGATTTGCACCAGTATCCCCATGGCCCCAGGGTGGACATCATTTCCCATCACTCACAGGGCCGCAGGTATGTGAGCCCTTCCATAGCAGATCATGTAACAAGTGGGAATGGCGTCCCTGCAGCCAAAGGGGAGGCAGTTTACACTAACAACTGGAATCCTGCTCCCAACACAGAGTGGCTGCTGGAGACAGCCAAGTGAGCACACAGGAGATTCAAACGCAGCACGGAAAGACAATCAGATGAGACAGGGACTTTCCCAGCAGACAGTTCCGTCAGTGTGTTGCGGGGCATGATGTTCTTGAGAGGATCGAGAGCTAGTTGGTCAAGTGGAGGGATTTGAAACACAGAACTGAAACATAAAGGGGTGGGATTCGTGAGAGATGCCAGCCTAGGAACTAGAACATGTGTGCGACAGGAGGGCCACGGGAAGTGACCAGACGACTACAGGAAACACACTCTCAGACGTGACTCGAGGCTGCTCTGCGTACATTGGAGCTCATGAGGACCCAAAGAGTAGACTCTTAGCAGCTTCCTGTCAGGGAGCAGATGACCTGCTCTGAGAAAGTGTTGGCTAGCTGAGGAGTCTCACGGTTGGCACCAGGGACGAGCTGGAGGAGCAACCGTAGAGAGAAACTGCAGCGGGCGAGTGTACCGCACACAGGCAGCCAGCCATTTCCCTCGGTGATTAAAATTTGTTATGTAAGAATTTAAGGCTCTCATTACTTGTTTTATGATAATAAATACTCAAGAGGAAAGGACAAAGAAATGGTCTGCTTGCTAGGACAGCTCTTGTGGTGAGGGAGATCATGCTCGCCAGAACCACAGCCTCCACGGTGAGGGGAACTCATGCTCACCAGAACCATAGCCCTCACGGTGTGGGGAGATCATGGGAGGAAATTCAGGTCCCACTGATGCTCGAACTCAGATTGCTGGATTCAGAGTCCAGAGTGCTAACCATTAACCATGGGGCCATATCTAGGCTTTTTTTAAATTTATTTTTTGAAACTTTATACGTGAACATTCATCTACATACTTCATTCCCTCCCTCGCCATTCATCTTCTTCCATGTTCCCCATCTCCCAAACTCATGATCCTATATTTTAAAAATGATTATTGTCTGTATATACACAGATTATTGTCTGTATATATACAATTTTATTTATTTATTTATTTTTATTTTGTGACTGTTTACCTGAGTTAAAAAGCAAATCCCAAGACGGGCCTGGTGGTGCTGGCATGTAATAGCAGCTGCTTCACTGAGGGCAGGAGGACCACGGATGAAATACTTGCCTGGCTACAGGGAAAGCTGAAAGCCAGCTTAAGTAACTTAGTGAAATCCTGTATCAAAATAAAACATTTTAAAAAATGGGGTCAGGGTTTAATAGTGGTGCATTTGTCCAGCCTGTATCGGCCTTAGGTGCAACCCTTTATTCAATAGCACCAGGGAGGCTTATATACCCCAGTCAGGTGGGCCAACAGGTGAAAACCTTATCCTCTGATCCTCAAGGCAAGGCAACACGTGCTCGTGAAGCAGAACTGGTAAACAACTTTGACACAGCTTTCAGTAACTCAAATCAGAAGGAAAGTAAAGATCTCTAGCAGGGAAGAGCAGCTGGAGGCCAGGACTCCAAATGGTCCCAACATGAAATGAGGAAAAAGAATGACAAACACCCTAAGGTAAATCAGAGGAAACAATCAAAAAAAAAAAAAAAAAGGTGGAATGAAGGAAACAAAGCCAATAAGGTAAATAGCTAGTTCTTTGATCAGCACAGTGAAGCTGGCATAAGAATCTGATTGTGATTAGAAACCTAACAGGTGGGAGTGAGAAAAGGGGCATATTTGGAGGCACAGTGACAATCTAGAGAAGACAAAGGAGAGACTTCATTCAACTCTTTGACCAATAATCCAAGAACCCAGACAAAGTAGACTTTTCTTTGTCAGATATAAGTGTGACCCAAGAGCTAGAAAATTTGCATTGGGTAGTAACCATAAGACGGGTGGGAGATGGATCAGAGAGCAGATTTGAAGACAGCAATGGTAGGCTCTGGATCTGTAGCTGAATTTCCTGTTAGCAATTAAAGAACACATTTTACTAATGTTCACACTAGTTCTGAAGCCTCGAAGCTCCTGGTTCGTCTCTAGAATAAACACACGTTTGCTCCCCAGGCTCCACACAGGACAGAAACAAAACCTAGAGAGCAGTTCTGAATACAGATTAAAAGCCTGTCTATAAGTTTAGGCTCCTGACCAGGGTGGACATTGACAGGTGTCGCCACAGCACACTTCTGGCCACTGAAGCCCGTTATGCATAGAATAGGAAGTCATTTGGAAACTTGCAAAATTTATATAAATAAGAAGGAAGACATGCTGTACTCTCGGTTTCAAAACTGCCCAAGCTTAATTTAGCTCTTAACTGCCCCTTTCCTTGAGGGCTGTGTGAGCCGTAGCAAATTTCGAATTGCTGCACGTTCGCTGTCTCCTTAGAAATGCCGTGACAGCCGCCTGCTATTATAGCTCGGAGGGATGCGCTCAGAAATGCAAAGCCATTTCCATACATTCCGAGCACAGCATATTTCCAGACGGATCTACTACCCCCAATATCACACGTATTAGCGCTAATGAGACGATCTAGAGATTTCCCACGCTGCTGCTCTCTTCCACTGACACAGAGGACACATTGTGCATATGAATAAACCCTGCCCTTTGTCCACCGCTAGTGCCAGTACCGTCGCTGTTGCTAGTATCAGGCCCGCACGCTGCATGGTGCCTTCTGCCTACCACAGACAGAATTTACATGGCACGCCAGGGAGGGCAAGTAGCATTTCCTGAGAGTCACCTCGGAATGACTTTTCCTGTGTTTATGGGGTCTGTGTGTAATTGCATGTGTCTCCCATGTTTGCGTCTCTTGCTTAGGAATTAGAGGTGTTTATAGGGATTATGTCACAGGCTTTGTGTTTTATTTTACTTTGTGTAGATGTGTATGCACAAGTTGGGCGTTGAGACAAAAATTGGACTTAAATAGTCAAACACTAAGGGCATCTGCAAAACAGATAAAGAAATGAGAACCATCTGCTTCACTTACAAACGCTCTTATCTCTAGCAAAATGCTTCCTGGAAACGAAACATGTCCTAGTGCTTCTCCTGAAGACTCTGTGCTTGAGGAGCTGGGCATGATGGGGCATGGCGCCCAGTCCCAAGATTTGTGAGCCTGCGACGTGGGTTCAATGTCAGCTTGGGCTATGTGGTTAAGACTGGGGCCAGCCTGGGCTATATAGTAAGACTGTTTCAATCAATCAATCAAATAAACAAAACAAATAAGTAAGCAACAACAAGAAAACTCTTAAGCATGTTTGTGAGCACTGCGGAAGGTACTTAGCTGTTTTCTAGAATGGTGCTGTGAATAAGCCCCATGATTCAAAGAGGCCAAAATTTGGTACTTATTTCTGAGAGATAATCTGTCCTAGCTGCAGCATACACGGTTGAAGAGCCTGTGGCGCTGAGGTGTACGTCAGTGCACTTCACATGCATTAGGATTTAATTCCTTCTTATGATGTTTGTGGACAGAAACATAAACACGGCACCTTGCTGTTCCAGGGCTGGAAAGGTGAAATAGGAAGGAATTTAATATGTTAGGTCTATTGCTCCTGATCCTTGGAGCTCAGAAAATGCCACGAACAGTTCTCAGAACACCTTTGTAGTGAACTGTTTGCTCTATTACCCTCTCTGTTTTTTCTTTGCAGATCCTTCGGGTGGCCTTTTAAAATAAGCACCAGAGCCAGAGAGAGCCAAGCAGGAGCGGAAAATGTTGGGAAGACTTCTGTGCTCTCTCTCTACTTTCCCAGCCCCTCCAGCCCTGATTCCCTACTCGGATAATGTGATGTTCAGAGGGATTCCTTAATCCAAGTCACCCCTCAGTCAGGCCTATCTACAAAAGATTGTATCCTTAATTCAAGATGGCAAGCCAGCCGCCGGAAGAGCCTGTGGAGTCTCAGGTCTCGGATGAGCTGGAGTGCAAGATTTGTTACAATCGGTACAACCTGAAACAGAGGAAGCCCAAGGTTCTGGAGTGTTGTCACAGGGTCTGTGCCAAGTGCCTCTATAAGATAATAGACTTTGGAGACTCTCCCCAAGGTGTCATCGTCTGCCCTTTCTGCAGGTTCGAGACGTGCCTGCCAGATGACGAAGTGAGCAGCTTGCCTGATGACAATAACATCTTGGTAAACTTGACTTGTGGAAGCAAAGGGAAGAAATGCCTGCCCGAGAATCCCACCGAGCTGCTGCTCACCCCCAAGAGGCTTGCTTCCCTCGTCAGCCCTTCTCACACGTCCTCCAACTGCTTGGTTATCACCATCATGGAGGTGCAGAGGGAGAGTTCCCCATCCCTTAGCTCGACGCCAGTGGTAGAATTCTACAGGCCGGCAAGTTTCGACTCTGTCACCACAGTGTCCCACAACTGGACGGTGTGGAACTGCACCTCCCTGCTCTTTCAGACGTCCATCCGGGTGTTAGTGTGGCTGCTAGGTTTGCTGTACTTCAGCTCCTTGCCCTTAGGGATCTATTTACTGGTGTCTAAGAAAGTCACCCTTGGGGTGGTCTTTGTTAGCCTCGTCCCCTCTAGCCTTGTCATCCTTATGGTGTATGGTTTTTGCCAATGCGTTTGTCATGAATTTCTGGACTGTATGGCACTTCCTTCTTAATCAATAGGCAAAATAGGAAATTTGGCACATACAGTTACGTTCAAATGATGTACATGCGATTTGCTTTCTTTTGTATTCTCTACGACTAGTGTCTACAGCCTCAACAAAGCCCTTGGCCATACGTCTGTGGTCCATTTTCTGTCCAGATGTTGGCTTGATGGGTTTTCCTGGATTCTGAAAAATGTTTAAGAGACATTCATTTCTACATAGGGGTTAGCCAGAAAGCAAATTGTGTGTGCCTAGCTTTTTAGGGCGCGCCAACAGTTGTGAGGCGTCCGGGAGCAAAGGTGTGGGCACAGTGAGTGCTTTCAGACAGGTACCAGGCAAGGTGACAGGGTCCTGGTGAATAGGTCGGGATGAATGGAGGCCTCCTTCAAGTTAGGGGTATCCTATGATGGTGGGTAGATGTCAGAGGCAGGTTGCTCCAAAACAGATCAGTGTGCTTCCCCATTCTCTGAGCAGTGGAGCCCCTAATCACCCTCAGGTGCTTTCTTTCTTGAGGTAATGCTTCTCTGAGGTCTGCTACCCCCACTCAGATTCCTTTGTCTTCTGTGTGGTGCTCCCTGCCCCAGGGTCCCACAATCTTGCCCCCTTTGGTGGTTCCTGCAAAGTTCCTGTACTGGCATGTTGTTACAGAAGATGGATGATTCCGAGAAGTTTGCATGGAAGTAGACCTCATGCCTGGGCATGACCATTTCTGTGTGCATCTCTCTCCCAGGCTTCCTGGAGAAGATCTGAGCAGTTTTTGCATGTGGAAGGATTCCCTGGAGTAATTTCTTATAGCATTTCAGTTTTGTTTGGTTTCTAACCACATTCTTCAATCCGCCCCTAGCCATATCCTGAATGAAGTTCCATTTAAATTAGTCGTTATCAGCTTATGAAGGTTTCGTTTTCTTCCCCTTGTTTTAAGAAATTTGCTTAGGGCTGACTTTGCAGACTCCTACAACACTCTGAGGGAAGCTGTGATGGTGGAAGCCCAATAACAAGCCACCAACTGCTCTAGTCCTAGGCACCAGGAACCCCCGTGTTCTGTTGAGTACCAGACTGCAGTGGCTCAGGCTTGTGTCCTGTGTAAGTCCAGGCAAAGGAAAGGGTGAAGCCATGCCAAGCCGATGCCCTCCTTGGAGAGATGGGTCAAGGAGTGAAGTGGGTGCAGCTCACTTGTGGCTACCTGCTGTTCAGTCAGTTTGGGGATAGAGTCAAGTCCTTGAATTTATTTTCTGTAAAAGCATAAGCTACATGACTTGAGTATAAACCCCTTTTCATGAAACAGACTGGGCGACATTGAATGTATATATTTATGGGAATAAGTTGTGTAGTAGGCTTTAGATGGGGGCATAGGATGTTCACAGAAACTAGACAAAAAGAGGAAAGGAAGCTTTTTAGTGTCTGAGACTCGTTACTGATACTAACAATAAAATACCCATAATGCTTAGCAAAGGGCTTTACCAAGACTCTGTTAGCTTGTTTGTGGTGAAATATTTGTAGTGTGAAATAGTTACAGGGGGCCAGTTCCAAACTGTATAGAAGGAAATGGATACTTATCTAGAATAGGAGTTTCGTTTTAGTTACACCACTATTAACTTTGAGAACATGTGTGCCCAGGGTACATAGAATGAGAATGTTTATGTGGGATGTGGTCCAGTGAAATTTAAACCCCAAGTTAGAGCTAAATACATTTATGATTCCAGAAACCCTAGTTTTAGGTAGTATTGTGGATGCGGTTTCCAGAATTCCATTTGTACTTTGAGTAAATACAATATTTAAGAGGTTTTGTGGTTTGGATTTCTATATTTATAAGGTTTCTTTTGTAAAGATGCTCATTTGGTGTGAACTGTGATGTTGAGTGAGGTGGTGGGTAGCCGCAGGAAGAGATTCCCAGAAGGCCCTGGACCAGCTCTGTGTTTTGCTACTTTGTGTGATGTCTGCAGTGCTGAAGTTGTGTCTGTGTGTGCTGTGGCAATATTTTTCTTAATGCCAGTGTGTTGGTTTGTTTTAAAGAGTTTTAAATGTATGACAATAGCAATGCAAAACTACGCAACTCTCCATGCTGTGGAATGGAAGGGACAACCCTTAACTGTTGTATTCCCTCTGCTAATGTTTTCTTGTCTATTAAATTTTATGATTTCTAAATGAGATGTTTGGTTTCTCTGTTTTATGGTTGAGATGCCGTTATCACTTCAGATAAGCACAAAAGTGAACTTTCATTAAGCCAGTGCATCTATCATCCACACGGAGATTTTAGAATTGCCTCACAAAGCTAACGTCATTTACCACACTTCTACAAAGGCCCTCGTATTTTGTTTCAAATGGAGAAGAAACATGGGGGAAGATGAAATAAGAATGTTATCTCCATAAGTGAAATGTTTTATTTTGTCTGATTTGGTTAACTTTTTCTGAACTGCTCAACAAAATAGAATCCGGTGAAATAAAGGAATTCTTACCTTGCACAGCCTGATCAAAGCAGAAAAAATACTGGGTTTACTAATCGTGACCATTGTTGAGTCACTAGAGAGTGTGCAGCAGTTCCGTGTTCCTAGCAGTCAGTGACAGCACATGTCAATCAACAGCGATGGTTTAATCCACTTTGCACAAGTGAGCAAAGAAGCAGGTTGAGGAAGATGGTTCCCTGGGCTCTTGTGACTGCTGTGAACTCAGGCTTGGCTGCTGAGGACCAGGGAGCAATGCACGTCTGCAGGGTTTTGAGCATTGTGGAAACCATGCTGAAGTTTCTCAGTGTGTCAGCCTGACGGATGAGAAGCCAGAGGAATGCTGATGTTGCTAGACAAGCAGATGGACCCAAGAGGGGAGCTCAGAGGAGGGGGCAGCAAGGTAGCCTGGGAGAGGGCAATGGGGCGGGTTTGTTCTTTCTTTATACCCTCTTTGCTGATATAGTCTCAAAATTTGCCTGGGTTTGTTGGACTGTTTCAGCAAGACTACAGACTATTCTAGAACTTTCCTCAAAACCAGCAGTGACAGCCTTGGTTTCAGGAAAAATCCTTGAGTTTAGCCATTTGTTCTTGCAGTTTGCATTATACATGTTTTTTCACATCTTTGCCTTCTTCTTGCATCTTTATTTTTTTTTACTTCAATACTCATTATGAATATTTACTCATGTAGACTTAATATTGGGTTTTTCCTTGTAAGTTTGCTTTAATCTAAACCATGTTTCCTTTTTAAAAATTTTATTTGTGATTTTATGTGTCTGGTGTTTTACCAGCACGTGCTTCTGGTACTGTGCGCATGCCTGGTGCCTGAGGCCTGAGGACGGTGCTGGATCCCCTGGGACTGGAGTTGGACATGGTTGTTGTTGCAAAACCAACAAGTGTTCTTAACAACTGAGCTGTTTCTGCAGCAACTAAATGGTGCTGATTTTAAATGCGGATAACTACAATGGGAATGTGAGTAAATCCTAATGACTCTCAGACACAGTAAGGAGTGAGCCTGGTTTCTTATATTATCTAAACCCATGGTCTAATCCAAACCTAAGTAAGCTCAGTGTGGATATTTACCGTCAGAAATTAAACTCAATACTGTAATACTAAGTTGGGATATGTGATAATTTGCTCTTCATAGTGGTTTGGCCTTGATTTAATTAAGCAAACACAATTACTTGGGCAGCATTTTAACTAATCAGATGTTTATTGACTATACCATTTATATTGGGAAGTTTGGAGTGTCAGGACAAAGAGTGTCCTGGAAAGGAGGTTTCCTGTGACCTTGTTTTTCCCACAGTGTGTAAAGAAAGCTGTGTTGTACATTTCTGTCTACACCCCTCAGGGAAGAGATCTGGCCTGGAGACCTGATTTTGTGAAGCAGCTGGGGCTGAGCATTGGAGAGATGCTGAAGCCCAGCAAGAAGAGCACCAAAGCTGAGCTCTCCAAGGCTAGACAATGAATGCTGAGGGGGAGGGGTCAGAGGGAAGATTCTGGAACATTGAGGGGGAGGGATGGAAGCCAGAGAACATATGGTCACTAGACCCCAGAAGAGGAAGGTGGAATGAGAATCGTTAGGTCATATGAGCAGAGCAATTGTTACTGGTTCTTTTCGCACTCAGCATTAGCATCTAGACTGACTATGTTTTTTTCTTTGTTAGGTAAACGTATGATGTCTAATTCTCAATTTGCCACTTTCCCTAATTCTTTTCAACACGATCTCACTGTGGTTGAGCCAATCAAAAATGATCTTTTGGTCATTAGAGATATTGTGGACCAAGGTAAGGTCCAGAGATCTGGCTTCAGTTAATTCCTTCTGGATCGTTTGGAATGCGTTAAAATTTTGTTGTCTGTCTCCAGATTAAAAAAAAACTTGTCTTCTCGCAGCATTTTTAATGAATTTTAACTATTTTAGCAACACTTTGGCCTGCAATGTTGTTTCGAATGCTAAGGAACACTATTAGTCAATAAACGAGCATCTATTTTTGATATGTGTTAAACCCAAAACTTCCCACACTCTTCCTTTTAACCCATCCCTATTTTCTGAGTTTTTAAAAATTTCATTTATGGAAGCAACTCATGCATCCATTACCATCCTCCTGCACATACATGCACACACACAACACGCATGTGTATCTACACACATGACCCACACATGCATGCATATACACATACATTCTTAGGCATTTTAGGTAACAGCTGTGAAAGAGAAGCATGTTGGTCTCCCTGAAAGCTTTGAATTATCCAGGTAAGTTATTAAAAAATCATTTTTTTTAACCATTAACCACCTTTCTCGCTGCTCATAGAGTAACGGACTCTAATGCTTGCCTCAGAGACAATTCCTGCCATTTTTCTATGTTTGCTATCATTGAATGATGGAAATTGTCTTAGCAAACAATGGACTGATTAGTTAACATTGCTTCTGTTTGGTACACTTTTCCTCAATATTCCAGCTAGAACTAACTGTATGATTATGGTTTTTGGTCTTTTTTTGGGAGGGGGGGAGGGATAGGTCTTTGAGTTATACAACTATTTTCACTCACCCGTGATTCAACAGACTGAAAACCACCAGTTAAAATGGGACAAATGACAGCCTAATGTTGTGGCCTTTCTGCTGCCAGAGGAGGGTGGCATGAAGAGTTGGTCTCTGGAGACCAAAGAATGCTAAATCCTGGCTTTGGAATGAGGAGGAAAAAGCCACTAATTACCTCCTCTGTTCCCTACCCACAGCTTCATATTCCAGATGAGAACCCGACCAGATTCTTTGATGCAGAACTTAAAGATCCATGACTCCGAGTCCTAGTCTAGCCATTACTGTGCATAATATTCCCATTTCCTCTGACTTTATGACGTGCTACCCATGCCTGTCATGGCTCACTGGGAGAATATGAAGACAATTATGGTTTATGGCTTTTAAAAGCAGGATTTTATTATGGCAGTTGCTCCAAATGCGTGTTGTGGCATGTGTCCAAGTGACTGGGCCATGAAGGGAAGATGTTCTGGCTGTGTGAGTGGAAGGGGATTAAAGGCCAGGGTCATCTTCTCAGAGACTTGCTGAGCATCTGGACTGTGCAGTGTCTGAAAGACAGTCCCTTGGACAAAACTGTTTAGTCTTTTTCAAACTTGGCTATCTCAGAACCCTTTCCCAAGACATCTGCTGCTACTTAGTGGGGTTAGTTTGATGGAAGCATCCTGTGAAGTCCGCCTTAGACAATGGGTAAACAAATAAACGAAAAACCTGTTTCCGAGTTACACTGTGCTTAGGAATGGTAAGGCTCTGGGGAATGCGAGGCCCTGCTCCCCTTCCTGTCACAGCTGTCTCTGGAGGCCCCGAAATAATCCTACAATTTATTGAGCACTTACTACATTCCAGAGTCTGCATTAACTGCCTTAAATTCATTGCCTCCGTCAGTTGCTATGGCAATTCTTGTTTCCTTATCTGGTAGTTAAATTAAGGTTGCTACCAGATGAGAAAGAAATGATTTCTTTTTCCATGTCAGTTCTATGTACCCCCCTTTAACTATGTGTATACATACTTGTGTGTGAGAGAGTATGTGTGCAAAAGTGTACTCATGTGTTTATGTGTGCTCATATGTGTATGTGCGTAAGTGTGTACCTGTCTACTTTACACAGTATCATCTACTTCTCTCTGAATAAGGAGGTATTTGGCGTCCATCTCTTCCCACTTCTCACATTTGCTGGTTCAGGTGTCTTAGGAAACATTTCCCAGCTGTGATTTGTTTGACGGTTTTCTTGTGATTGGAGGGCCATTTCTATGACATCACGGCACGGCGCATCATCTCCTGACTGGTCTTGGCCTTGATCTCTTGGCTGTTGGAGTGATTGCCGAGCCTCTCTTGTCTAAAGGAACTCACTTTCCCCTTTGCCATCTTGGCTGGTCGGAAGAAAGTCACTGTGAAAAATGAGGACTTTCATTTCATTTTCTTGAGAGTAGAATATCTACACTATTTGTTTAGAATATTTTTGTGTAGAAGATTCATCTTTTTCCTTTACTTATCTACAGATTCAATATTTATTTCAGTGTGGACTCATGGAAATATGAACTATATCTTATACTTCGAATATCAACCAGTAGCACTTTACTTAACTTGTTACGCAAAGATTATTTTATCTTTGGCCACTGAAAATTTGTTTAGTTGGCTTACATTTTCTTTGGATACATCTTAATTGCTATACAAATTTTTTTCCTTTATTTTGAGGCATGTTTTCCTTTAGCAGTTTTTTAGGCCAGAAAAATCTAAAAGTCTAGCATCAATTAAAATCTTATTAATTATTATTATTGTTTGTGTATGTTCATACAAATTTCCCTACTCAGTCCGTCAGTGTGGTGAACTGCATCGACTGACTTTCAAATGCTGATCTCCCTTCCATACCTAGAATGAGTCTCACATGATAGGGTGTATAATGTCTTCCACATTGCTGGGCTGCTCTGTGGATGAGCTGCTGTGGCTAGAATTAGTCCCACGTGATAGGGTGTGGAATGTCTCCTGCATTGCTAGGTTGTATACACTTCTGTGGCTCTTCGCTTCTTGCTCATGAGCAGCAGTCATGTTTTCTTTGCTGCAGTCTTTCTGGCTTGTGAGTAGGGCAATGCCTGCCTCAAGGATTATTTAGGAAATGGCCTCTTGGGAAGAGATGGAAAATGTTGGTGTGATTTTTTTTCTTTAAATGTTTGATTGA